TCTCCACAAAAAAGACAGTCTCACTGATTTGCCTTGCAGCAATCCTCACACTAATTGGTAGAGCATAACTAATAACATGCAAGTATTAAATTGTACTAGTCTATATATTTTTTTCCCTCATACACAAGTGTGAATACTGATATTTTTGTTATTGAATTTCAATTAGAGCCAATTTAAAGGCCAAAGCCTTAAGTGTTTTTTTTTTTTTTTTTTTTTTTTTAACAAATGACCTACTGATGTTTTGCTTTTATATTTTACATTAGGCTTTTATTTGTGCATAAACATATCTAGATATAGTAATAAACATATTGTTCGTTTTAAAACATTTTTGTCATCATTACTGCAAATTGTAGGAGCGACATTTTAATTAAACGTGGAGTGGAGCCTTATATTAGTTTCCAGGGAAAAGGGGGTCTCAGGCAAAAAAAGGTTGGGAACCACGGTGTTAATCAACCTCAGTCCTGATCAAAACTGCTAAATTGCTTAGAAATTTACAGGATTTTGATATTTTAATTGCTAAATTCATAAATGATATCACTGATTTGGTGAAAAACACACACAAAATGGCATATTTTCAGTATAGAAAGTAATTGCGGACTGTATTTTTTAACCTTTTATCCAAGTCTTGGACTTGTGAAGCAGCATTGTCTTTGATGCATTCTTTTTGATTGATTTTTTTTTTCTCCCTAATTTACTGTTGGTGGCTGTTTTTGCCCCATTGACTTCCATTATAACCACACTTTATTTATTACTAAACCATTACATCATATAATCGTGCATTTTTTGATTGCTGGTGATTTTTTTCCCTGTTGGGAATTTGTCATTTTTACTGTTGATCATCACTTGGCACCATTAACCCTTTAGATAGGCCTGTGTCACTATATGTTGAGTTTTCTTACCGACGTTTTAAGTTTGTGTTGGAAATGCGTGCAATGCTACTGTAGCAATAGCCCAAAATCACACACATTTAGAAAAAAGGGAGGCAGGAACCAGCAACCTTTCAGCAACTTTAATTATAAAATAAACAAAAAAACAAAAAAATCTATCTGGAACTTCTTTGCAGGACTTGACAATTATTTAACACTCGCGCAACCTGCTTCGCTCCGCTCCCACAGCTTTTAGCCCTGTCCAAACTTGCCACCACTTCCAAATCAATTACAGATCTTGCACTCTGTGTTACTGCATCGTGTATTTACATATTCTTTGAGAAGTACAATTTAGGGTCTGCATCAGGATAAAGCAAAGGGTATGCGATTGTGCAAAGGCTATGCTAGACCATTCACGTGAACTCTTTTAACCTGTTAGATAGGCCTGTGCCAAGAAAAAAGCTTAGTTTCTGGATTTTATATGGAGTATAACAGCAACTTAAAGTGTCTGTATGTGTATGAAAATGACCTTTGAGCACTTACCTTGATGTGTCTGAGAAAATCTAAATATGAATGTCAGCTCTCAGAACTACAAAGAGTAAACAAAAACAAAGACTGTGTATTTATGCACCATCAAATGTGGTTATAATGGAGCTCAATGGGGCAAAAACAGCCACCAACAGTAAATTAGGGAGAAAAAAATGAAAATTTAACAACACTTTAAAGCCAATGTTGTTACTAATTATTCACATGTCGAAGACTGTGATAAAAGGTTAAAAACCAGCCCACAAATAAGGTTTATATTCAAAATACGTCATTTTGTGTGTGTTTTTCACCAAATCAGTGACATCATTTATAAATTTTCAAATAAAGAGTTAAAATCCTGTAACTTTCTAAGCAATTTAGAACTGAGGTTGATTTACAGATTTATGCAAAAAAAAAAAATATATATATATATATATATATATATATATATCAGGACTTGACATTAACTTTTTTGATCACCAGCCACAGTGACTAGTAGTTTTCCAACGTTACTAGCCACTCTGCATTTTCACTAGCCACAATTTTGTTGTTGGCAAAAAATTGTTTATTTGCATAAATATGACTTTATGATAGTGTTATACAGCAATTATTTTTATTTCACATGACTTTTCAGAACTCAAGATTAAGGATTTACCAAATTTATCTCTGACCACACCAAACAATAATTATTTCTTAGCCACAAATTTTAAATGTCAAAACAAGCTAAATATAGCTGTATACTGTACTTTTTATTTAACAAAACATTTCTTTAAAAAAACAAAGAAAAACAATTGACTTTTTAAAATAATTATTGTCATGTATTAAAAATATGCACAGTAATCAGTTCTCGCTAAAGGTTTCTCAGATCACCAGTTAACTACACATAAATGGAGAGTTAATCTCATATTAAATCAATGTTGTTATAATTTTTTACAATTAAACCATATTAACAAAAATAACTATAAGCAAAAGAAAGCAGGTGAAAAACATACTATGTGATAATGGAAGGGTCATCACACGGTTAAGGCCAATTAATATGCTGTTCAAAGCGAAAGCAAACCAGTGCTTAAAAACACATGCTTCACATCAGCGCATGTTAGCGCAAGTGATCATTCTCTCTGTATTCATCTGCTCTCTTCTGCTTGTGTGAATGCAATTTGTTTTTGTTAGTCGTGCTGTTTCTCGATTCTAAGATCGCATTTGCATGCATATTGGGTCATTCTTATTGTTGAACCCTGCTTCTAAAAAAAAACACAATTTAAGAATTATTTTTAATCAGCCAAAGTCGCTAGTGGGAGTGACTGTCTAACCCGCCAAAGCTGAAATCTACCCACATTTGGCGGGTGTTAATATTAAGCCCTGTATATGATGCATTTTTATAGCAGTTTAATTCTGTGGATGTTTTGTAATAAAAAGTAGTCAATTTGAACAGGGCTTTCTGATTATCTAATTTTCAGTCAAACCAATGATTCTTGTTTGCTGTGGTTGTTTTTGTTTCTGAATAATTGTTATAACATAGTATAGTAACTATATAAAACTGATTTGAATAGCAAAAAACTACATTTTCATGAAGAAATACGACAAAACTAAATTGTTAGAGACGGACCGCTCTGAAATAGATCGAGTCAGAATGAATGTCCTGCGTGTGAGCGAGTTGTGCACATTTGAACTGGAATGTAGCCTATACTGATCCCCCTGCAGGAAAGTAAGAAAGTATTTGTCTCATTAAAAGTAAAAAAAATGTCAATGTGTGGGAGAAGAGATGGAGCAGATGTGAAGCACACATTGAAATGCATGTCTGAAACGGCATGATTTTTATTTTTTAGGAGAGAGAAAAACTGAAGGTTGTTCGTCATTTTGACACATTTTAATGATGATTATCTACTTTCAGCCCCACTGTCATTAAGTAATATACTAATTGTAATAATAAACATTTATTTACGTTAACACGCTCAATACAATTGAAACTGTACAACGTAAACTGATCACAACACACTTTATTCGTTACTTTCACTTTCACTTCGATATGAATTCTAGAAATGAATTATCGCTAGCTTATTTTTCCCTAAAATTTTTTCAGTTTTTGCTGAAAATGCGTGCAATCCTACTGTAGCTGTAGCCCAAAATCACACAGATTTAGGAAAGAGGTGGAACCAGCAAACTTTTAGCGATTTATTATAAAATAAACAAAAAGCAAAATAATCTATCTGGAACTTGTTCTCCTCCGGACTCGACATTCGCACAACCTCCCTTGCTCCGCTCCCACAGCTTTCTGCCCACACTTGTCACCACTACCAGGTTGGCCAATCACAGATCTTGCACTCTGTCATTCCATTGTGTAATCACATATCCTTTGAGAGGTACGATTCAGGGTCTGCATCAGGATAAAGCAAAGGGTGTGCAACTATTTAGGAGATATTATATTTGGACTGTCCACGTGAAGGGACTGTTGAAACTATCAATTAGGTTAACTAGGAAGGTTAGGGTAATTAGGCAAGTTATTGTATAATGGTTTGTTCTGTAGACTATCGAAAAAAGGTTAACCTAAAGGGGCTTATAATTTTGACCTTAAAATTGTGTTTCAAAAATGTAAAAACTGATTTTATTCTAGCTGAAATAAAACAAATTAGACTTTCTTCAGAAGAAAAAACATTGTCAGACATACTGTAAAAATTTCCTTGCTCTGTTAAACATCGAGTGTGTCGTACCGCTTCCAATATGCACACACAATCGGTGTGCCTCCATTGGAAATTACGAACTTGTGTGCAGAAAAGACGTGATATGTAAACCAGGCCACTGTGATTTGAAATCTACAGCAGCTGATCTTTTTCTTAACAAATGTGTTGCAAATCCATTCTTTGGTATTTTAAGGGTCCTTCTTACTCATTTTGCTAGCTTGTGGGTTACATTTTGACACTTAAGTGACTAAAATAATACGGTCATTTTTCAAAATAAATAAAAAATAAAATATTGTTCAGACAAAGATAATAAATAAAACGGAATTAATTTATGATTTCAATTCAATTGATACATGGACCGGTACTGGAACCACTGATGTAGATGGTTTATTTGCATTGTTGACTTTTTAATGTATAAATAAAATACAAATATTTATATAAATATAAAAAATGTTACTATATAAATATTTAGTAACAGTAAGTCTCTCATATATCTACTAAAAGATTGAAAATATTACTTTACAAACCGAAAATGGGCATAGTATTCAATAATATTATTGAGATCGATATAAACCCAGCCTAAATGAATATTTGTTTATAGACATTTGCTTAAGTAAATAAAAGTAAATAGAGAATCTGCTCCCTTGTGTGATCTTAGATTCAGTGTGGGCCGGTTATTAGTGCATTAAATTTTGTTCTCCCTAAAGCATTATAAATCTTAAAGAAATACTCACTAAATCAAAATTTGCTGTCAACATTAACGCTGGAGTCTAGAGCAATCACAAAAATTATTAATGCATCTTTTATAATGTGAAAAGGCCGAAAGCATCTCTGAACCAGTTTGAGCTGTTCAGATTGTATTGCATAATGTCAGTCTGGTGTCTGTGTTTTTCATGTAGTGACCGTTGGTTTTTGTCTTTCTTCTGTCCAGTCTGAAGCTGGAATGTGACAAGCTGGCGAGTGAGAAGTCAGAAATGCAGCGTCATTATATCATGGTAAGTCTGCTCTCCTCCAGAGGGATGCGCCGTAGGCTCAATGTGCCGGAACACATTCACATCCGCCAGACACTAACCTAACCCTTACCTGTCGCGTCTCATTGTGTCTTACTCTCAGTCTGCCTTAGTGCTGTCTTTCCGCTGCTCCATTACCAGTCTGTTCCTGCTACTCACCAAGAGGATTTATGAATAGGATGTTTTTTTTTTTTTTTTTTAGGGTGACAGTAGCTTACCTGGTACCAATAGATGAAGTCAGATTTGAGTGAATATTATATTATATTGTATTATATTATATTATATTATATTATATTATATTATATTATATTATATTATATTATATTATATTATATTATATTATATTATGATAGTTTTTATTAGCAATGAAAAGGTTTTATATAAAAATAGATGTTTAATTTATTTAGAGACAGAAAAAACAGGTTGTTCGTCATTTTGACACATTTCAATAGGCATTGTCTACTTTCAGTCCCGCTGTCATTAAGTAATATACTAATAGCATTAATAAACGTTTGTTTAAGTTAAAAAACACAATAACTACAATTGTAACTGAAAGTTTCAGTATGGCGTAAACTGATCACAGCTTTACTTTCACTTGCACTGTTAAGTAATATGCTAATAGTAATAATAATTAACGATTAAATTGCACAATACACCAATTTCAAATGTAACTATCCAGATGTCTATCCTGCACAACGTAAACTGATCACAGCACACTTTTTACTTTACTTTCACTTGCACTTTGATATGAATGAAATACCGTTTCCTCATTGTTCTCTAAAAAGAGTTGTCTACCCCTGATTTATTTTTCTGTTTCACATGATTGCTGTACCCCACAGCATATAGATGTGATAAATAAATGTAATATTTAGATTTATATTTAGGGCTGCACAATATTGGAAAAATCTGATATTGTGATTTATTTTATATTTCTGCGATGAAATATTGTGATATGTAAAGAGTTTCACAGTGATGGTTTGAATAGCTATATTTGACCGTTTTTTTGGAGTTTCAAAGTATTTAAATACAAAAATTAGTTAATCGCAATGCCAAAAATGCCTTTTTATATTTTACTTTGTCTCATTTCTAGTCCAAATATCTCAAATAAATGGATCATGGCACGTAATAATATTGTTTTATTCTCAACTTTAGAAGAAATAAAGTCAAAACTAAGAGTTTTTCCTTAAAACAAGCTACATGATCTGCCAATGGTCTAAGTAAAATAAACCTGCTTTCCCTTTTGACTTTTAGATATTTGGTCTAGAATCAAGGCAAAAAATTAAATTAAGAAAAACTTTTTTTTTTCTGTTTGCATAAATTGTGTAGATTCTATAGAAATAATTTAACGCAGTTATTCCACTATTTTTGTGCCAAAATACTTTAAACTCTCTTAAAATGCTCAGACATGGGACATAAAACACATACACATTCACTCTAAAATGGATAAACTGAGCTATGGCTTTACTAATTGCATGTGTTCTGTAGATCTTGGTCAACTATCATTCTGACTCAACATTGCAGATCTTGCGATGTGACTACTGCAGATCTGCACATTGATGCTAAAACAATATATTGTGCTGGCCTAATTTAGACATTTTTATCATGTTATTTGTTATTTCATAGTTTTTATTTGTGGAAGTTCATATCATTTCTCAGTTTATATTATCATTATTATTCTTGTTAAATATAATAAATTAAAATACATAATTCAATTGTAATATTATACTTGATAAATATGGCTGGAAAAGTTGGCGGTTCACTCCGGTGTGGCTACCCCAGATTAATCAAGCTACTAATATCATATACAATTGTGTACTTATTAAATTCGTTTGATCATATTTATATTCTGATTTATTCTAATTTACAATCAACTTGTGGTTCTTATACAATCAATATCTATTGCTTATTGCTTTATTATATTATACAATCATTTTAGTTTTCTTTTTTTAAGTTGTTGTATGTAAAATATGACATATTTAGTAGAGCTACACAATATATCATTTCAGCATCAATATCACAATGTGATCATTCACAATAGTCACATCGCAGGATGCACAATGTTCATTTTGTATTCTAATTCACCATTTGCATGTGTTTTTGAGACCTGTGATTGTATAAATATTTTTACAACATTCAGGCATAAGCAATTATACTGTTTGTAGCTTTAGTAACGATTCATTTGAGTGCATTATTATTACTTAACCTGAACACTGTTGAATAGCAAATGGCAAAAAACCTGTTTATTTCAATTGTATCTGCTTCATTATTGTATTTATAGAGTGTTTATTAGATTATATGCAGATGCGCCTCACCTGTAGAATCATCCAAATCAATCTAAAATGATCAATTCTTTACAAATAGAGAGATTCAATTCATCTCTTGAAATTGTAGTCATGTCTCAATTGTATATCGCAACAAAATTTCGCAATATCATGCAGCCCTAATATTTAGTATATTATGTTTTTTATATTTCTTAAATGTTTTAATAATCATTTCATTTTTCTAAAATGTTTATTGATGCATGTGTGTTTTTACAAAATGGAATTCAAAATCCATTTGGGTATAAAAATGTCCATCTCATCTGCTTGGACTTCCTCTCCTCCCTGGTTCACCCCCATCCTCTCTCTCTATTTTTTTTACCTTGTCTGCCTTTCTTTCTTTTGTCCATCCTCCTCTCAGTCTTTCTCTCCATCCCCCCTCCTCTATAACCTGGTTGTCTCCGGCCGGGGCCTCGTGTTGCCGTCTGATATTCCGCCTCTAATTGATCCGTCGAGCGGCTTAATCTCATTTAATCTGTGCGCCGTTGCTCTCACACGCATCAGCCAGCGCGCCCTCCCTCGCTCCTCTAATAGCCTATCGGGTTGCCCTGCTCTGTCCGCACCCGCTGCCTGATGGGGAGGGTGGGCGTCCTCTTTGCGTTGGTGGTAATTGCTTTAGGGACCCACTGCTGCTTGGCAGAGCCGACCCTCATCCAACTCTGGCTCCATCACTGATGCTCTCTGCTCTTGTTTCGCAGCCGAGGTTGTGTGCTAACACACAAATGATGAGCCAGGCTAAAGGTCTTTGCACACTCAAGGCCAAATTGTCCTACGCATTTTCTTTCCGTATTTGGCATTTGAAAAATTTGATATGCACAAAAACTGAAGTGTGATTGCAATTTTAGAAAATCTGTAAAATTACAGAATGGAGTTTTTAAAATGTTGAGGGTGTCGTCTTTTCATAAAAAGAGCAGATTTATATTTTGCATTTTGTCATCATTTTGTTGGAAGACGAAATGGATCAAATCAGACGCCTTAACGGGTTTTGCGTTCACTTGTTCAGTGGCTCTAAATTGTCCAAATTCCTGTTAAGCTGATCTAAATTTTAAAGTGTAAATGAGATTGATACACTGTTGTTTTATTTTAAAAAAAGAAAAAGAAAAAGAAATTGACAGAATGTTAGACTTATTTCTAAACTCTCTCATCCCTAAATTCTCTCTAATGGTTTTTCTGTCACTTAGATCACTTCGATTTGCAAAAAAATTTTAGTTTAACATGAAATTTGCAACAGGATATTTCCAGCCTGATCTCACGAGAAAACGTAACTAATTTTACGTTTTGTCTCTTTAGTGCCTAATTCGTACAAATTAGTACAAGTTTAGTCGTGCGAAAATGTATTATTTTAAAAAGAAGGTGTGGCACCCTGCCCCTTAACCCAACTGTCACTGGGAGGTGAGCAATTTGTACTAAATTGTATGAATAAAATTGTACGAATTCATATGAATTAGCCACAAAAACTAAAAGTTACGAATTGCTGTGAGATTGTGTTGGAAATTTCACTCCTACATGTTTTTTCTTTTTTTTTTTTTTTTTATTAATCTTATGTTAGTAAACAGGACAATGAAGTGGAAATACAAAATCTGTGAAATCTGTCGCCTAGTAAGTTATTTTCTGATTTCTGTTTGGTAACCATGGTAAATTCACAAAATTCAATTTCGCTTGGTCATTGTGCCAAAATTGCATGTAAAATTGTGGTATATCTTTCACCTTTTAATAAAGTTTCCAAATTCTGTTAGTTGAATTGCCAAAACCACAAGAAAAATGAACCTATAGCAAAACCTGAATGGGAAAATCTTTAACCCTTGCCTATGCATTTCTTTCGTAATTATTTAAAATTTATTAATATATTAATAATAAAATTTGATTTAAATGCAAAACAGAGCCATTAAGCTGTGAGAATGATAATAATCGCTTGGTATTTTTAACTTTGATTGTCAAAGTGCTCTCTGATCACATCAGACAGACACCATTCTGTATTTTCGCGCTTGCCCTTATGGTGGCTCTAAATTCTCAAAATGCTTGATGTGATAGTAAAAATACACTATATCTCTTTTCTTCTTCTTTTATTTTAATGAAGCATGATAACTTTGTAGGAAGTGTTATGAGGTTGCATTTCTCTTTTTAATGCACAAAATTGATGAGAATTTTTGACAGTTGATAAACCTTTGCAGTCGGTGCTAATAGCCTTGTGGTTAATGCGTTCACACCTACCACTAGGGTGTTTACGACAACCCAAGTTCGATTCCTGGCTATAGTTTCTTTGCCAACCCTTCCCCTCTCTCTGCTCCCCACACATTCCTGTTTGTAATCTCCATTGTTCTGTCTCAATAAAGGTAAAAACCCCTAAAAAAGGATACAAAGAAGACTAAATTACACCACTAGTTTCTGGCAGTCATTGTGCCTAGTTTACATTAAAATGTTCATTCCTATGTGAAATTTGCTTTGGGAAATCTCTTCAATCTCTGTTTGTAAACCGTAAAGTTGTGTAGAAAAACATATTCAAGTGGAAAAATCTGTATGGGGAAAAAACTAATGTTCAGTTTTGTGTTCATGCATTAATCGGTTTGTTTTTTTTACAGTATTACGAGATGTCCTATGGGCTGAACATCGAAATGCACAAGCAGGTGAGTTTGACAAATTTCATATTTTAGCCAAAAGCGCAGTATAGTATATCTACTGTAGACAGGAAAAAACTTTGCATGCCGTTTAATTTTCATTAAATGCTGCCGCTTTATTTCAAGACTATATACATAGAAGAGTCAGTGAGTCATGGGTTTTCGCGACCTGATGTTTGACTCCACTTTCCAGGTTAGAATAGGTGATAGATTTTTAATGATCAGTTTAGTGAAATATAAATAGGTTTTGTTTTTTGTCACAGTGCTACTTCTTTACTGTATTTAGTTCAAATTATTACATATTTGTCAAGCTTCTTTCTTAAAAACCTTCGTACTGACTATATTTGAGTGATTTGATGATTAAAACAGTTTGATTACCCACAGAATGTGAAGGGCAGCAGTAAGTGTTGATCTTCAGCATATAATGTCAGTCATCAGAGTGTTAGCGATTAGTACATTTAAAACACAAAGCAGCATTTTAAAGTCAGGCCTTTACCGCTACTGCAGCACAATTCATCAGTCCTGGCCTGCAAGTGACACAGGTGAAATATGCTTTAAAAAAAAGTCAGCCAGGCACGGAAGAGAGAGAGAGAGAGAGAGTGTGTGAGACTGAAATACAGTCATGAATGCAGAGAATAAGGCATCCAGTGTTTGGTATGCAGTCATTTCTCTCTCTCTCACACACACACGCACGCACACATATTCTCTCTCTCTCTTTCTCTCACACACAAACACTCTCTCTCTTTCTCTGCTGTATGAATTGTCAGCATGGCAGCCTATTGAAACTGGGTTATTGTTGCCTCTCTTTGTCCCACTGCATGTTTTTTTCCTCCTCAAGCTCGCACAGGCTTTTTTTTTATACTCAGAGAAATCATGTTATCCAGACATGAGCATTCTCTGTGTTTATCAATCTTTTCCTTCATAAAATGTCAAATATAGTGTATACTGTAGCTAATAAGCTTATATTGTGTAATGCATGTAGAATATACAGTGAATATTTATTTAGTAAGCTATTCCATCAGCGTTTATAGATTGTGCACATATTTTTATTTTTATAGTTTACATTTAGTTTTTATAGTCATTATATATTGTGTGTCTATATAAATGTTAGTATATTTTTTTATAAACAAGATTTAAGGAAAAATACCTTATAATTTTTATTTTGTAGATTTTTAATTAACAATAATCTGTTGTATTGTAACATTTTATATTAGTGTGTATTGTTAAAAGTGTATTTTCAAAAATCTATGATTTATTTACACTTTATACGCAAGCCATTGTTGATTGTTTATCAATTTTTGTTATATGCTATTATGCACGCGCATTTATTTACTGGCTTTTCGTTGTTTTGAAAGGTGCTTTACAGTCTACGGCAGGGTTGTCCACACTTGGTCCTGGAGGGCAGGTGTCCTGCATATTTTAGTTCCAACCTTAATTAGACACACCTGAACCAGCTAACCAAGCTCTTTTAGGTATACTGGAAACTTCCAGGCAGGTGTGTTGAAGGAAGTTGGAGCTAAACTATGCAGGATACCAGCCCTCCAGGACTGTGTTTGGGCACCCCTGGTCTACAGCCTAACTGCACAACCATTTAATAATTGAATTTTAGAATTAAAATAATATAGCCAGCTTCACAGCTTTCTTTACAATTATAGTAGGCCTACAGTGCTCAGCATATTTAATTACACTCCTCACCACAAATCTATCTATTATATTGTTATTGTAAGCTTTACAGTATTATATTTATGCATATACATTAAGCTAGTCAATACCATAGCCAAATCTGGAGTTTATCTAACAAAATAACTTACGATAACGATCCAAAAACTAGTACACTCAAATTTATGTTATAGAAAAATATTAAATACAAATTTTAAAAATGTTTAAATAAAAATCAAGAAAATTTGAAAAATGTAGTTTATATTTTGTAGGTTGTAATTTATTGATTTATTTTTATTTTTTGCAATATTTTGCTTGAATTTAATTGTATTATCTTTTTATTCTTAGTATGTTTGGTGACTAAAATATAATTATAATAAATGTATCTGTTTAATAAAGCAGTTTTGTTTAAATGCACCAAACTACATTGCCTATATTCACTGAGAACTTAATATTTATTTAAGCCTATTTAATTATTTATTTATTATTGGTGTAAAAAAATTAAGTCATAAAATGACAAAAATATAATCAACAAAGAAACTGTATATGAACAAGCCTATTTGTTGACTGTCTTAGTCCTATTACTTTAAAATAACAAACACTGCACATCTCTCTATATTTAGGCTAAAACACGGCTTTATTTATTTATTTATTTATTCATTTATTTATTTATTTGTGTATGTATGTTTGTACTTTTATTTTAGTTGTCTTTTATTTGTTTAGTTTTAATTTCCAAAACCAATCCTTGTTGCATTTAAGTTTACAATGATAATAAAGCTTATTAAGTTTTTAATGATTAATGAAGGAATTATAATGCTTTATTTCCTTATTTCATCTTCATGAATGCCCTGGCGGCATAGTCGCAAACTGCTGTTACACCTAAAAACACTTTCTTAATCCCTCAATACCGCCGTGGCGTTAGTGGTCATTTTGAAGTGTCACCCGCTGTATATTTAAACCAGTGTTTCTAAACCACGTTCCTGGTGGACCACCAGCTCTGCACAATTTGCCATGTCTCCTTAACCTAACACACTTGATTCATATCATCAGCTCATTAGCAGACTAAAAGACCTGTAATGGGTGTGAAAAACAAAAGAGACACGCAAAACATGCAGTGTTGGTGGTCCTCCAGGAATGTGGTTGAGAAACACTGGTTTAAACAATTCTCTTACACATTTTGTTGTGTTTTAGTAGCTTTATTATATGTTTGCCAAGAACGCATACATTTAAAATATAAGATATTATAAGCTGTTTTGTGTAATAATTCTTAATATTTATAGACTTAAAATGATAGATGACTGTAATTATGTTGTAATCATACTAAAATAACTGTTTATGTTTTTGATGCTGAGCAACGGTAAGAATATGTGATCATTTTTAAATAGAAGAGTTTGCTGAGCTCTGTGTATGCATGTGTGTGCGCCTGTGTATGTATCTGTGTGTGTGTGTGTGTGTGTGTGTGTGTGTGTGTGTGTGTGTGTGTGTGTGTGTGTGTGTGTGTGTGCTTCTCCCTGCAGGCAGAGATCGTGAAGAGATTAAATGGGATCTGTGCTCAAGTCTTACCTTACCTGTCTCAAGAGGTACAGAGAGATCGCAGCATTTAGTCTGAAGCAAAACACTCACACCCTCACCATATTCATCACACTGCATTCACACACACACACACACACACACACACACACACACACACACACACACACACACACACACAATCAAACATACACTCACTGGCCACTTTATTAGGTACACCTGTCAAACTACTTGTCAATGCAAATTTCTAATCAGCCAATCACATGGCAGCAACTCAATGCATTTAGGGATGTAGACATGGTCAGGACGATCTGCAGCAGTTCAAACCAAGTGCCAGAATGTGGAAGAAAGGTGATTTAAGTGACTTTGAATGTGACATGGTCCAGATGGGTTGTTCTGAGTATTTCAGAAACTGCTGATCTACTGGGATTTTCACGCACAACCATCTCTAGGGTTTACAGAGAATGGTCAGAAAAAGAGAAGAAATCCAGTGAGCGGCAGTTCTGTGGGCACAAATGCCTTGTTGATGCCAGAAGTAAGAGGAGAATTGACAGACTGGCTCCATCTGATAGAAAGGCAACAGTAACTTAAATAATCACTCATTATAAACAAGGTATGCAGAAGAGCATCCAACCTTGAGGCGGATGGGCTACAGCAGCAAAAGACCACACCGGGTGCGACTCTTGTCAGCTAAGAACAGGATACTGAGGCTACAATTTGCGCCATGTCATAAAGCTTGAATCATCTCATACTGGTTTCTTGAATATGACAATGAGTTCACTGTACTTAAATGGCCTCCACAGTCACCAGATCTCAATACAAAGGAACACCTTTTGTCGGAACTAGAGATTCGTATCATGGATGTGCAGCCAACAAATCTGCAGCAACTGTGTGATGCTATTATGTCAAGATATACAAAAATCTCTGAGAAATATTTCCAGTACATTGTTGAATTTATGCCACAAAGGATTAAGTCGCTAAAGGCAACCCGGTACTAGTAATGTGTACCTAATAAAGTGGCCACTAAGTGTATCATCATACCTTAAACATCTGGGTTGAATATGAAAATTCTGTCATCATATACTCAACCCTCACCTTTTCCAAACCACTTGTTGTTGTTGTTGTTTTTTTTGTTATGTTGAACACAAAAGAAAGATATTTCGAAGAATGCTGAAACTGTTAACCATTTATTCATAGTAGGGAAAATAAATACAATTTATGGCAGTGTTTCCAACATTCCATTTTGTGTCCGAATTATCTTTTTAAATAATAATTTATCGATGAAAATTGCAAATCTTTTTTATCAAATCACTAACGTGTTTCAAATTATGAGTTGCGCTTCCTGTTGGGGGAACTTCCTTTCAAAAGAACTGAAACCGATTACTTCATATACTTCATAGCACATCAAGTAAAAAAAAAAAAAGTGGATAAATTGAGGGTATGATGTTGGAGAGCCTATATTTGTAGTGTAAATGCATGATGATTTTATGGTGGCTGTAGGATTAGAGTGTGTTGTGTAAGGTGTTGATGTGATTGTGTCTTTTTCAGCACCAGCAGCAGGTTCTGGGGGCGATAGAAAGAGCCAAACAGGTCACTCCACCAGAGATGAACTCCATCATACGGGTAAACTGTGTGTGTGTGTGTGTGTGTGTGTGTGTGTGTGTGTGTGTGTGTGTGTGTGTGTGTGTGTGTGTGTGTGTGTGTGTGTGTGTGTGTGTGAGTGTGAGTGAGTGTGAGTGTGAGTGTCTGTGTCGTGTGTGAGAGGCTCATGCGGGTGCATACACAGGCTTATACAGTAGGCCATGTTTATGCAAATGCATGTGAATTAGTTTGTGACAGGCTGTGTATACAGAAACACATTTTGACTGATTTTTCTGCATCATTGTTGTGCTTGACACCTGTGGATATTTAAGAGAGCACTTGTATATTCTCTGGACATTCTGTATTTTTTTTTGTTATTGGTTTTTGGTATTTTGTTTATTCTATTTAAGGTCTGAGAACATTTCTTCTATAATAAAACTATTTCATTTACAGCATTTTGTCTTCAGAAAATGGCAGTTCGGTAACAAAAATCAGGGTTATTCCACCAAATATTGCGTTTCTAAAGCCTGTTTCCCTGCAAACATTGGCAGAGCGTGAGCAGCGCATGTTTTTCGCCGTCAATGTTAACAGATTAGAGCTTTCATACTGCATGCAGAAGCAGCGTACAGCGCAAGGCGTGAGCGTTGCTGAAGCAGTGGTTCCACGATAGTTTTGGCGCTGGGTCTATTTTTGCCACACTGCTCAAGCTCAATTAAAGTGACAGTGCATTGATAATGACTAAAACACACTGAATGACAGTAAAAGTAGCAATTTTATCCAATAAACGCATCGATAGTATCCACTGATTCACATATATCGTCAATCAATAAAACTTAAATGATTAAAAATAGCAACAAATATTTATTTGTGCCTGAACGACAACCAAATTCAAAACAGTTTTAGTATTAGTTTTGTGTAAGTTGCACACTAGTTTGATCATTCATTTTCTTGTCGGCTTAGTCCCTTTATTAATCTGGGGTTGCCACAGCGGAATGAACCGCCAACTTATCCAGCAAGTTTTTTTTACGCAGCGGATGCCCTTCCAGCTGCAACCCATCTCTGGAAAACATCCACACACACACTCATACACTACGGACAATTTAGCCTACCCAATTCACCTGTACCGCATGTCTTTGGACTGTGGGGGAAACTAGAGCACCCGGAGGAAACCCGCGCGAACACAGGGAGAACATGCAAACTCTACACAGAAACGCCAACTGAGCCGAGGTTCGAACCAGCTACCCAGCGACTTTCTTGCTGTGCACAAAACTACCTACTGCGCCACTGCCTCGCCTAGTTTGATCATGTATAAATATTATTATAACTCTATTGTATAAATATTACAACTGTAGGCCTACATCAGGGGTGTCCAAACGCAGTCCTGGAGGGCCGGCGTCCTGCTGAGTTTAGCTCCAACTTGCTTCAACACACCTGCCAGGAAGTTTCTAGTGTCTGGTAAGAGCTTGATTAGCTGGTTCAGGTGTGTTTGATTAGAGTTGGAGCTAAACTCTCCAAGAGGACCGAGTTTGGGCACCCCTGGCCTATATCATCCTGACAATCAAAAACAAAATGACATAATACCACAGGCGATTGTCTTCTGACCGAGTGCACCTGCAAAAGACATGAATGACACTCCTCAGAACTTGAGGAGCATACAGTTCTTGAGGATCATATTATGTGTAAAATAAAGACTTGCAGGTTAAGGAAACGGCATAGGAGGAAGTTGATGCAGGCCTTGGTGCAGATGAAAAGTTAAAAAATAAAAAAAGTGTATTTATAGATAGATGGGTAACTAGATAGAATAGACAGAGATAAATTGATCTGTGCAGCAGCTGCCGATGAGCTGCAGTCGGTGTGTAAGGCAAACGCCTGAGCACAGCTTCTGCTCTCTTTACGCGCTGCTCACGCTTTGCTTGCAGTGTGAAACAGGCGTAACTCTTCTGAGTTTACATTGCTATTGTGATGTCTAAAATTCAACAAAAATATCTGAAGTCCTCTATTTTTATGCACAAAAATGCTCTAAATGACAGTAGTTCACAGCATAATCAGTAGTTTACAGAATAAATAACATTTTTCCTATAGCTGTGCACACACACACACACACCAAGAAGGCATTGCTTTTGCCTCTTTTATGATTTTTGAAAATTTGACTGAAAATTAGACATTTTCTTTTGTTTCAAATCTATTTGGTCTATTTTTCAATAGAACACAAAAGGAAATGTTTTGAGAAATGTCCATGCTGCCCCTCCTTTTCACTGATAACTAGAGACGCATATGCAATGGCATTTTAGGTTTTCGAACAGTCTCACTTTTCCTCCAGCTGTACTCACAAGTGATGTGAAGCGGCGTGCACTGCACATTAAAAATGGCTTACTATGAAGTCATAGTATGAAACCCGTTCTTTTCAATGGCTTGTGCCGTTCAATGGTGATCTGTTGCTGCACCGTCAACTTGCTTGTGCATTTACTGCTGTCAAACTTAGAACAATATTCCACTCTGTGGATATTCCTCTCATGTACACATACAATTCATCCATGCGTGAATTGGTTAGGCTTACTGGAAAAGCAAAGTCTGCTCAAATAACAAACACATTTCTATGTAGTATACTTGTTCCTGCTGCTTGTAATAGCCCTACTGTCCTGTTATGGCAACGCTGGTAAAATGACGCTTCTTGACTCGTTCCCTTTCACCAAATAGTATTGTACTGTCGATAAAATGTGCTTATTTTATTGGCTTGTGTTTATTAAAACAGTATAATTTAAGTTATTGAGTTCAATTTAAAAATTATTAAAATAATACATAATAATTACAAAGCCGTTTTGGCCCAGAATTTAAATTTTAGGGCATCTTTCATAAAACAACCCCAGAAAGTATGCTCATATTCCTGAAGTAACAGCACTGCATGTCTGTGTGTTGTGCAGCAGCAGCTCCAGGCTCACCAGCTCTCCCAGCTGCAGGGGCTGGCGCTGCCCATGACCCCTCTTCCCCTCGGCCTCAGCCAGCCGGCCGGCCTGCCCGCCGTCACCTCCAGCTCCGGCCTCTTCTCCCTCTCCAGCATCCTGGCATCCCAAGCCCAGCTGGCCAAAGAGGACAAGAGCACACGTGAGACGTCCGACAGCCACCGCGAGGAGGACGGAGACAAATCCGACTAGTCGACGGCCAAACCCAATCATCATCATCATCATCATCCAGAGCTCAGCGTAGAGCAGAAGCACTTGTTCCCCCCTTTTCTTTTCCTTCATTTTCCTTCTATCTTTCTATCTCCCCTCTGAATTGCTAAACTCATTCGTTCTGGTTCATTCCACCAGCTTTCTCTCTATGTATTTATACTGATCCTCCTTTTTATTGTGTTATGGATGCTTGATTTGATTTCATTTACACTTCTTTCTTGCCTGCTTGTATGTATATATCTATATATATTGTATATTTCTTATGCTCGTTGTGGAAAAACGGTGTGACCGTTAATGGACCATCGACCCTTCGGTAATAATTCCTCTTTTGTTTTTTTCTCCTTTTTTTTTCCCTTCTCCCCCGCTCACTCTTTCTTCCTCTTAAAATCTTTCACCTTTTAAAGCTACAATCTACAATAACTGAGTCAAAAGCACTTTGGCCCCAGGCTGTAACTCGGAGACTAAAAGCAACGTTGAATCTAAAAACTTAGCCGCGGCATAATCCATTTAGAGTTTAAAGGATCTGTGTTATTGTAAGGAAGCACGGCTGTTGCATCTATTCTACCTTAAAGGGACAGTTCGACTTAAAAATGAGGGCTTGTGTGTTGTTCCAAACCTGTTTGACATTTCTTTTTTAAATTTAATACAATAGGCGATGTTTTAAAGAATGTTCAAGCTGCCTCATTTTACAATGAATAGGAACTAACCTTATTACGCTTTAAAAGGGACAATGAAATGATTATTAAAAACAATAAACTAGTCTATATGATTGGTGTAGTTTTAATAAAACTTTAGGCTGAGAAATATTAGACATGTTGAAAAGAGCAGTTTGGACAATTCTAAAACAAAAAATAAAATGTGCTAAAAAAGTAATATTGGTTCAGATCAACATGAGGAATGGTGGGTTTTTATGTTGTTTCAAACATGTTTGACTTTTTTTGTTTAAAAAAACAAACAAACCCAAAAGAAGATGTTTTAAGAATGTTCATGCTGCTCTTTTTCCATACATTGAAGTGAATGGGGACCAAAGTTGTTCAGTGAGATCTAAAAGCATCACATATTTAGTCTACAGCAGGGGTGTCAAACTCAATTCCTAGAGGGTTGCAGCCCTGCAAAGTTTAGTTCCAACCCAGCTCCAACACACTAACCTGTAGGTTTTAAACAAGCCTGAAGGACTCAAGTAGTTTGATCAGGTGTGTTTAACTAGGGTTGGAACTAAACTGTGCAGGGCAGCGGCCCTCCAGGAATTGAGTTTGACATCCCTATTCTACAGTTTATGATTGTATACCAGGTTTTTAATTGGATGGTTAACCCAAAAATAAAAAATCACCTCATAATTTTTTCTTGCTAATTTAATATAAAGATTATTTCTTCTCTTAAACAAAAAAGAAGATATTTTGAAGAATGCTGGTAGCTGGGAACAATTGACTTCTGTAGTATGAAAAAAATATTGTGGAAGTCAATGGGTGCCAGCTACCAGCATTCTTCAAAATATCTTCTTTTGTGCTTACGAGAAGATAAAAAAAAAATCAAATAAATGTTTTTAAAAAAATGAAGCATTATTAAATGGATTAAAAAATTTTAGATGAACTATACCTATAAGCAAATTGTGTGATCATTTTTGACATTTAATATAGTCACTTTCATTTTATTGAAAAAGTTGCTTGGATACTACTCTGAATACTTTTTATGGGTTTAGAACAACGTGTGTGTGGTGTGAGTAAATTATTGAATTGTGGTGTAGTTTCAAACTCGTTTGACTGCCTGACTTCTGTGGAAAAACAAAAGGAGATGTTTCAAAGAATGCTTGCTCTGCTCTTTTTCATACAACTGAAGTAAATGGGGATAAAAGCTGTTAAGCTTCAAAAACACAAGAAAAGCATCAAAAACGTAGTCAATATGACTCCTGTACCATAGTCCAAAACATGGTAACATAACATGTAGCATAAGCCATCGGAAACTGTTTAATTAATTAATTAGTTAATTAATCATCTATATTAATATTAATATAGAATGTAAGTTGTTAATCGTCATAGAAAATGTTGCTTGCAAGTTGTGATCATTCACCATTGCATTCCATTGTATGAAAAAAATTTCTCAATTCAATTAATTAACAGAATTATGGAAGTAATGGAAAAAAACACTGATAAGGCTGCTACAGGAAACAAAAAGAGATTTCTAAAAATGTTCAAGCTGCTCTTTTGCACAGAGTTGAAGTAAATCGGGAACAAAGCCATCAAGCTTTTAAAAGAATAAAGTGCCATTAAAAACATCACAAATATAACTCATACAGCAGAAAGTTTAAATAAGTACACCCTCTTTAAAAATAATATTTTCCATCCATTTCTTAGTTAATAGAGAACACAAAACTGATTTATTCAACTGTTTTATTCATTAACATAAGAGTTTAGTCGCCTGACAGCTTTAATAATAGAAAGATAATTCATTTTTTGAGATGTTGTACAAAAATATTACAAATGAAAACATTTAAAATCAATGTAATGTGTATTTCCCCCCTTTAATAAGAGTTTATTTTATACTTTATCCTAACATATTCATTGGGGTGTATTTATTTGTGTTGATTAAATGATGTTGTTAGATTAGTTTCTGATTTGGTTCTGGTACTGACTAATCTGTGCAAAAACATAAATGTGTTGTAAAGTATCCAATAGAAAGCATGCATTTTAAAAGGAGATCTGTAAAGGTTCCCCTCATTTTTGCTGAGCACTGTATGTCCCAAATGTTTTGAAAGCAGAGAAACTCAATCTGTTATTAGAATAATTTGCCATATAGCTATGTCCGCGGTTCATTGTAAATAGAAAAGAACAGCTTGGAAATTCCTCAAAACATCTCCTTTTGTTTTTTACAGTACATACAAAAGTACAGTATGCTAAACAGATTATAGACAACGTGAATGTGAGTAAATCACACCGTTACCATTTTTAATTAAACTGTCCCTTTAAAAGTGCTTAATGAAACTTGATGAATAGTGTTGAAACAGAAAGAAAATTTTTCTACACGGCACTTCGGCGTACTGTATATCTATCCACCCATCTGCCTGATTTTTAATGTGTTTGTTGTGCTGTCTTAGAGAGTATTAGATGAATCCTCTGAGATGCTTGCTAACCTGCTCACCAAGTGAAAAGGGACGCTGTTTAAAAGATGATATTATTGGTCTTTTTTTTATTGTAATGTTGATTGTCTACATAGTGAAAGTCGTTTAAAAATTTAGTTTTTCTTACACCGTGTCTACACCAAATTCGATATCTTGGGTGTGTTGCACGGCAATGAATGGAATCTGTCCTCCATGTCATTAGCACTTGGAGTTTGTGAGTGTAGCTTCACTGTTTTATAGTGTGTGTTTTTGGTGTAGACACTGTGTTAAGAAGGTCAGTTGTAAGAAAATGGTATTTGAGAAAGCACCTTCATTGTTTTGATGGCACTACAGGAACACCCTTAGGAGAATGAACCATGGTTTTACCACAAATTAATCCAAAAAAACTGTAGTTAAATCATGCTAACCACAACTTTAACCATGATTTAGCTGTCATTAATTCCTTACAAACACAATTCTACATCATTTTTGTAGTTAAAACATGATGGATGCAGATTAAACATGGTTTTGCTTCATCAACCACTGGTTAACCATGGGATTTGAAGTAAAACATGTTCTCCAAATCGTAATCACTTAGCCAAAAAGCAAAGTTACTACACTGTTACTATAATAAAACCATGGATAATTTTACCAAGGGACATTTCTTGATTTAAGGTAAAGGCTATGATATAAAATGTTCATCTTTGTGTATATTCAGTCTCGCAGTGTCATGTTGTAGTAAGAGATTTAACCAAGAGGGGGCAGTAAGTCCATAGCAAGTCCACACTTATATCCTGAGGGTCACTTGAGTCTGGAGTTGTGGCATTTATGCGCCCCTTGTTGGTTTATATGAAGTATGCTAATCTGATGTGCCCAAAAAATGAATCAGTATAACATTTATTCAGTCAGAAGACGAAGTGAACCCATAATTTGGAGCTATAGCAGTATTGTAGGCATAGATTGTGATGCATTTTTATGCCAAAGTACACCACTCCATTCCCCCTACCTATCCCCCTTGCCCCTCAACCGTCTTTCTGTTCGATGTAATCTGTAAATGAAAACTAGATCTGGCTTTTTTTTTTAGCATTGTCATTGTTTGGATGTTTCATATTCTGTTTATTTGAATGTTGCTTTTAATGACGCTAATAGATTTCAAACCATATCGAATTCAGGAGTGAAGCTGATTCGCATGTTAAGGAAGGCCTTAAGGCAAGACACCGCAGGTCAACAGGGTAAAAAGTGAGTGAATATTTATCATCATACTTCCCCAGTTGGACGTTTCGTAGATTACAAGTTTTATTTTATGCTTAAATATGCAAATGAGGACGTATTGAATTCGATAGGCATCAATTTGCATACACTTCTAGCACAAAAATCGTAATATTAGGTGTAGTCGGGTTTAAAATGTGATTATTATTTTTTCCCTTTGAAAGCCTTTAGAAAATTTCAGACACAAATTGATAACGTGCAGTAAAAGAAACATACACGTTTGGATGTTAACTTAAAATATTGCTGTAAGAATGTGCCAGGTTCATGAGTTTTAGCCTGCCGTGTCTCGTCTTAATTCGCGGTTTTAACTTATGGCTGTGCCAACATAAGAAAACATCACTAAAGCCAACTAATAACATCTTAGTGCTTTCAAAATCAAATAATTTTCTGTGTATTTATGAAAGAAGTGTCAGGATGTATTATCATGGCTAGCTCAAATCTATTTAGTTTACTTTTTTAACTAAACAAATAGTAGTGGTCGCTGTGTAAACGAAAATCGTATCGAGCCGAATGCGAAGTGTTTTTAAAAGCAGGCCGCAGGTGTACTGTATGTGTACATCATTCATAGAGCTGAAGCTTTATGTGCAAACAGATGCTTTTGTGTCAGTCTTGAACACGTCTGTGTTTTAGAGGCACTTAAGAACAGGTTGTCGCCGAAAATCCTCCTTTCTTTCTGCCACTTCCTTCTCCCTAGACTTCATTGCTTGCCTTTTTGCCATTTGTTAAAAGCATTGTAAGCCTTCTGTGCTTTATAAAGTCTTTTTTGTTATTGGTTTGTTTTTTAAGCTCCTGATTTTTATGTATATTGTACAACCTACAGTGCAAAATAATTGTGTTATAAAATAGCTTCATTCCATATTAAAAACAGACAAAGTACATAAACATTTACTATACATAAATGGAAATTTCTGCAGTAAGGAAATGCTTCTGGTGCCTTACAAATAAAATCAATCAAATCGATGTAGAAAATGGCCGTGGTTTTATTTTGGTTGTGATTTTTTTTTTTTTGTCCTCTACATTAACATGTTTTGTTTTATGAAGTAAAAGTGCAAAAAAATGTGTGTGTGTGTGTGTGTGTGTGTGTCTGTCTCTCTGTCTGTCTGTCTGTCTGTCTGTCTGTCTGTCTGTCTGTGTGTGTGTGTGTGTGTGTGTGTGTGTGTGTGTGTGTGTGTGTGTGTGTGTGTGTGTGTGTGTGTGTGTGTGTGTATATGAAAAGATTAGATGCAAAAACCTCTAAGTGCCATCTAAACTTTTCTCTGGCTCCTTTGTCTTAATTCAGTAATTTTGCTTATATAGCAAAGAATGTTATTTTATCGCTTTTAACATAAATTAACTGAACATAAACATAAGTGCTCATTTTAGAAGAAAAGTCTAGATTGTACGTAGAGGTTCTTGCATCTGAACTCTTTGGTCAAATGTTTTGGGTATCCTTCCACAAGCTTCTCACAGTAGTTTGAAGTAATTTTGGCCCATTCCTCCTGACAGAATTGGTGTAGCTGAGTCAGATTTGTAGGCTGTCTTGCAAGCACAAGCTTTTTCAACTCTGCCCACAAATTTTCTATAAGATTGAGAGGTCCCACTTTATATTAAGTATCCTTAACTACTATGTACTTACATCAGAAAAATAAATACAATGTACTTACTGTGTTTATAATGTATTTGAGAACACTTGTGGTGCTTTTGAGTTGGGATAGAGGTTGGGTTATGGACAGGTTTGGTGGCATGGGTAGGTTTAAGGGTGGGTTAAGGTGTAAGGGATGGTCAACATTGTATTTACAAATGTAATTACAAAAGTTAATTACAGATGTAAGTACATACTTGTATTAAATCAAGCATAAGTACACAGTAAATACATGTATTTACACAATAAGTACATTGTAACAAACTATTAATTCCTATGTAAGTACATATTAGTTAAGGCCACTTAATATAAAGTGGGACCGATTGAGA